TAATATTGAATTAAGTACAGAGGCGTTTGAACGATTGAATAATGCAAAGTGGAGGTTTTATCTCTTATTTATTACTCTGGCTAACTCATTCATCCAAAGTAAGTAGTAGTGATATCTAATTTAAACTGCAAAATCAGCTGAAACAGGTTTGTAGCACAAATGCTTATTACTTCTAAGCCCTGTATATTACTGGTGATTAAGGCGATGATAATTAAAGCAAGCCTTCTTTACTTTTTTTTAATAAATATATTTATTCATGTGGATGCATAGAGACAACTGTGAGTGTGTATGTGCTTGTGTGTGTGTGTTTGAGTTGTACGTGTGTGTGTGTGTGTGTGGTGTGTGTGTTTGAGTTTGTATGTGTGTGTGTGTGTGTGTGTGTGTGTTGTGTGTGTGTGTGTGTATGTGTGTGTGTGTGTGTGTGTGTGTGTGTGTGTGTCTATGCGTAAATGCGATCTCATATACACATAACACCGCACAATAAGCCCCAATCCCCAAAACTCCATCCGGATAATCACACCACCACGAAAATAATGAATGACACGGCGAATGAAAACAATGAATGAAACGGAACAGTACTCACTATATCATCAATAACACAAGAATGGCAACCATCTCTTCGGGTCACTGACTGATCACTATATCAAGGTTACGAAATAGCGATGGGTGACCTACATTATATGAAAACACAAGACAAATAGCTTATGATAGAAATAGTAAGCGCTGAGAAGTAGCGGAAAGTTGCTACGTGTACATAGATATACATGTGAATGGAAGGGTGTTGGATTTGAATATTTACGTGTGGTGGATATATAGTAAATTAATTAATCTTTAATCCTTATCAAAGCGTGTAATAAGTAAATCGATTAATAAGGATAAATAAGCCAATAGAAAGAGTGTGCACATGATTATGAGTAGATGTGTCATTAGATAAATAGATAGATAAAGATAGATAGATAAAGAGATCAAAAAGATAAAGAGAAGAAATGGATAAATCTAGGCTAAATATATTTCTGATAAATTGGTTGATTGAATAGAATAAGATAGATTAATACCGTTATTTTCAAATGGGAAAACGCATTTCGTAATTGCATGTAGGCCTACTCTTATATTCACATAGAAAGACCGACATGTAGCTAGAGAGGAGAAAAGGAGAGAGGAAGAGAGAGATAAAGAAGGGATGAAGAAGAGAGAAAAATGCGTCAAGCACCTAACCTACCATAAGAACAACGTGATATATATTATATTTTGTTTATGATTTTTTTTCTTTTTGTTTTTTATCGCATTTGGTCTAGTCATAAAAGAACGTTTCTTAGAATATATTCACATAAACACATGCACACACACACAAATACGTGCATACACATACACACATATACACACACACTCGCACCACACGTACACATGCACATACACATACGTCCATACACATACACACATATACACACACACTCGCACACACACGTACACATGCACACACACAAATACGTCCATACACATACACACATATACACACACACACTCGCACACACACGTACACATGCACACACACAAACACACGCACACACACACACACGCGCGCATACACACAACAACACACACAAAACAAACAAAACAAACAAACACACACACACACACACACAACCAAACAAACACACCCCACAACACAAACACACAACCAAACACACACACACACACACGCACTCACG